CCCTGCTGGCCGTCCCGCCGCCGCCCGGGCTGCCGCTGCCGCCGCTCCTGGCGGGGCTGAAGACGAAGACCTCGCTGAAGAGACGCTGCAAGGACTGCTTCATCGTCCGGCGGCGCGGCCGGCTCTACGTCTACTGCAAGACCAACCCCCGGCACAAGCAGCGGAAGCTGTAGCCCCGCGGCCCGCGGGGGCTCTCCCGCCGGGGAGAGCGTTAACGCGGTGCCGGGTCTCGAGTGCCGCGGTCGGGCTGCCCCGCGGCTTCCGAGCACTGACCGCTGGGCACGCAGGTCGCGGAACAGCGTGGGTAGCGGGGTCTCATCTTCAGGTGGAGCCAGACAGGGTTCCTCACGGCCCTGGCCGCAGCTGCAAGCCATGGGTGCTGAGAGCCGGAATGGGAAGCCGCGGATTTTAAGACCTCTTGTCATCTCGGCCATGAAGCCTTACTCGGAATCGCCGTGCTCTTCAGTTGGCAAGGGCAAAGCTGAATAATCGGAGATGCCTTTGTGTTTAATTAAAGCAAAATGAAAATAAACGCTGGTGATTGTGCGTTATTGCCACATACAATGAATCTTTCTTAAAAAAAAAAAACAAACATAGGTGTTGAAAGCTGTGATAACAACCAAGAGTTTCAAAATCAGGTGGGCTTCTAGGTGGCAAATAATACTATATTACATTGAAAGATAATGTTCTAGCTTTCGACTTGGCTCATTGGTGAGTTAGAAATGTCTTTTGACTGTTGAGTTGCAGCAGATATAATCAGCAATAGCGTGGCCAGCAGGGACAGGGAAGGGATCTGACCCCTGTACTTGGCGCTGGTGAGGCCGCCCCTCGATTCCTGTGTTCAGTTTTGGGCCCCTCACGGCAAAAAGGACATTGAATGACTCGAGCGTGTCCAGAGAAGGGCAACGAAGCTGGTGCAGGGTCTGGAGCACAGGTCATACGGGGAGCGGCTGAGGGAACTGGGGGTGTTTAGTCTGGAGAAGAGGAGGCTGAGGGGAGACCTCATCGCCCTCTGCAGCTACCTGAAAGGAGGGTGCAGAGAGCTGGGGATGAGCCTCTTTAACCAAGTCATAAGCAATAGGACAACAGGTAATGGCATCAAGTTGCACCAGGGAGAGTTTATACTGGATATTAGGAAGCATTTCTTTACAGAACGGGTTGTTGGGTGTTGGAATGGGCTGCCCAGGGAGGTGGTGGAGTCCCCATCCCTGGAGGTGTTTAAGAGTCGGGTTGACATAACGCTGAGGGATCTGGTGTAGTTGGGAACTGTCAGTGTTAGGTTAATGGTTGAACTGGATGATCTTTAAGGTCTTCAACCTAGATGATTCTGTGATTCTGTAATCCTGTGTAGCTTCTGTAATGCCAATGTAAATAACCCTTGCTGCTTATCACTGTGGCTCTTGAGGGGAGATGCGGGTATTTTAATTAGTATAAAGTAATCAACACTTTTTTTTTTAAAGTTTTAGTGCCTAAAATCATCATTTAATGATAAATTGACCCTTCACAGTGTATTTGGAAGTACTCTTAGCCTCATCTGCTTTCAGACAGGTCCCTTCTGATGTTTCCAGTGTACCTCCTGTTCCACAGTGTCCCAAACCTTAACCCAAATAAAGAGGCACTACCTAGGAATCATTGTCTTTTGGGTGATGTTTGTAAACCATTTTGTGTATGTGTTTACAGCAAAGGAGATAGTAATTTCTGATTCTGGCTAATTTGCCTTAAGTTTCTGCAAAGCTTTAGGCTCACTCATGTAAATCATGAGGCTTTAGAATTACCCTTTTTTTCTTTATACAACTTTTCCTGTGTCCAGTAGAACAACTCTACCTTAATAGAGGTGTGGGGAGAATGGCAGTTACACCTCAGAGGTCACGTAGCCAAGCACACTGTTGGATGCAAACTAATGGACTGGTACCCATGGATTATAGTTAGACTGCCAAAATTGCTTCAAGCCACAGAGGTGTTCCTCATGCTTCTGAGGAAGTCTTCGGCCTTCCTGTGAAATGCAAGTTCTCAACAGAAAGTACCAAACTAAACTTTTGGACAACTGTCAAGTTACTGCTACAGGTTTGCCAGAGTACTGTAAGTGCCCCCAGCTTGGAAGGGGTGAAATTAATGAGCAAGGTGAGGTTGCTGTAACATTGGATAATATGATGACTTGAAGAACTTTTCTGCCCAGTTATAAGACCACAACTTTAAAATTGCAGTAACTGTTATAACTACATCTCTTTTTTACTAGGTGTTTGGTGGACAGTGAGAAGCTAAGCCTGGAAAGCTCTGTCTAAGCAATCCAGAGGCAATAGTTACTGACTGGTTCCCATGTGTCAGGCAGTTTGTCGTTTCACTCATCTATCTCATCACCAGGAATGTGGGTTTGCAGAGAGGAGCGGGTTAGTTAACATGCACATCCATTTTAGGGGGACATCAAACAAGTTCATGGCAGTGAAGGGGGAGAAGAATGGCTAGCTTCATCTAACTAGAGAGAGACTACTTCAAAATGTAAGTTTCCTCAAAACCAAAGAACCTTTAAGTAGTGGAAAACTTGCTGTACTTCAAAAGGTTTAGTTGAAATGTAGGCACTCACAAATAGGAATTTCTACTTTCTGAATATCTGCAGCTTCTAAATATCCTTGCATGTAAATAAAAGGTAAGCAGAGAAATTCCTTGGAGAAGTTTTACGCCTTTAACCCACTTTGCCAGTTAAGCAGCCTAAACAACTAGAGATTTTAAAAGCTTTAATTCTTAGATTAGGATTAATGGTACACATTTCTAGGTGTGTTTTCTTCGAGCAGAAGACAAGGTCTGTGTGCTGTGAACCCCTGTGATACCTTGTGAGTGTAGCTATTAGTACACCTTTAAGGTAAACACTATATGTATGTCCAGAAAACCCTCCAGGCCCACCCACTTTCCTGGAGGATGATGAGGACTGTGCAGGGACTGAGTTGTGGATTGAATGAGTCAGCCATCAGAAGTGAGGGTCTGCAGGGGATTTTTTTTTTAGGAAATACAATTGACAGCTGGTCTTATTGCACCCCTCACAGTTCGTCCAGCCCCTTGGTTCTGTCAGAAAAAAAGGGCAGCTGTCAGGTACAGGACAAATTGTGCCAGTAGGTCACTGGGGTGGTGTTCAAACCAGGACTTGCTTGCCAAGGGTAGCATAAGATGGTGAAGAGAGCTGTGAGCATGTGTTGCCAGGACTAGGGGCAGTAGGTGGTTTCTGGCCAGAGTTTTGAATGCAGTAGCGTCTGGGACTCGGACAGATTTACTCATGCCAGGCTGGTATCTGTTAAATGCAGTCTACTCTCATCATCAGGGAGTGAAATTTAGGGATAGGATTACCATACAGCAGAGGGGGGCACAAATTACTGTGTTTTAATTTCCTCCTTTAGCCTAAAACTTTTAAGTTTTTATATAGTGCTGACTCAGCAGCCTATTTCAACAGCTTATGATTAAGAAAAATTGTTTCACGATTAAAGCCATTGAGTTTAGTCATGCTGGTCAGAAACTTGGGATGTGTAGTAATTTGAATTCAGGTGTTTAATATGCCTATAAATTATTCATGTGTTGTCATGTGAATGGTCAGTTTGTGATACCTGGGGTGGAGCGTTCGAAAGAATGGAGCATTCATGGCCGTCACTGAAACAGCGTATTTGGTTGTGCTAATAGATTTTGGAAAGAGGATTATAGGATTAGAAACTAGAATACTCTGAATTGTAATTGTATTCTGCCATTGAGTTGCTGTATAATCTTGAAAAAGTAATTTTTCCTTTGTTTCAATTTCTCTGTTAGGCAGTAGTACTGAAATCTCACACTTCTAAGTACCTTTTATATTAGTTGATGTCCACAAACTGTCACAGAGGTTTTCTTAAAAAAAATCAGATTGTATAGATTTCTGTAATTTGGGTGACATGAGGAAGGTGACTGGAGCTGGTGGTGATACATGTTTACTTTAGGTTTGTTTACAACAGCTACAAAATAAGAAGGTGAAATAATGTCAGCCAGTAGGCTAGTAGTTGTAAGCTAAGGATTCACATCCTTCATTACAGATTTTCTGAATGTTGTGCTACTGAAACAGTTGTTTTCAGAGGATAGGGTACACATACTACTTAGGCTATCCAGGCCAAAAATGTAGTCCTGGAGTACTAAAAATACCTATCTATATTAGTTCCACAATCATATGTGTTTCTTTTTTATTTCTCCCCACTCCACAGATGTTGTGTGGGCAGAAGATGAAAGGAAGGGGAATGATAAAGAGAGTGCAGCTAGAATGTAAAACGATTTAGGGGGGAAATAGGACCAAATAACACAGCAAGAGGAATCCATACACTGAAAACTGAAATAAGACCCAGGCTCCAATTACATTTTCAGCTTCTGGTTTCCTGCTGGTTTTGTGTCTAAGTTACCCCTTCCAGAAATTCTCCATTCTTAAATCCCCACAGTGGAGAAGAAACATGACAACTGATGCCTCCTATGACTGTCTCCATTATACAGTTATGAAAATAATTTACATATTTGTAAATATCATTGTGAGTGACTGAACTTATTAACTCCTCAGAACTGTTTTAAGAAATGAGACTCTCAGATTCCTCATATGCAACAGGTAGAGATGTATTTAGGTCAACTGGAGGATAAATCTTAGAGCTCATGTACATTAATGACTGACAGACTTTATCTGTGGTTGTGTGTATGGGAATTACAGTGTTGGTTGCTGAATTCAGGACAATAGTTCTTCAGTAATGACAGGTGAGGGAGAAGTCCTTGCGAACAGTAGTACTGGGGGAGATGTGTCTGCTCAGACTGAGGCCATACATGATGGGGTTAGCTGACCAACAGGTGATTTTTCTAGATTCTGACACCACCAAAGCTAGTTTCCCAGACTCAGTTAAAATAATAGCTATTTTTTGGCTCTGTAGACAACACATGTTGCCTTTTCAATTATTTTATCATA